TTTAATTTTCTGGGTGCTGGTGCCAAGAGTCTTGATTATGGAGCCAAGCAAAATGAAGCTTGACAGTCTCAATCTCTTCACCATCCATCATGTTGCTACCAGTCAGCCCAGTAGTGAGAATCTTTGTTTTCTTGATATTGACCGTCAATCAATATTGAAGGCTGCAGTCCTTGACCTTCTGCAGCAAGTGCTTCAGGTCCTTTTCAGTTTCAGCAAGCAGGGTTGTGTCATCTGCATAATGCAGATTGTTGATGAGTCTTCCTCCAATCCTGATGCCACACTTCTCCTCACAGAGACCAGCCTCCCAGATAATCTGTTTTGCATATAGATTGAAAAGATATGGAAATAGGACCCTTCCCTGGAGTACACACTCTTCCCAGTTTTGAACCATGCAGTGTTTCCTTGTTCTGTTCTGACGACTGCCTCCTGGTCCAAGTACTTAGGTTTCACATTAGCATGATCAAGTGTTCAGAAATTCCCATTCTTCTCAGCATTAGCCACAGTTTGTTGTGAATGATAAAAAAATTAATTAGTCCAGGACTGACTGGGGATTGCTTCAGTTTGAACTGATGGTGACTTGCCTGGTTTTGCACTTTTTGTGTTTTGCAATGTTTAGCCACTGATGGAGACATTCAGGAGCCCACTGAGATATTGTTGATACAGAGCAAGCATGAGCCCTTGAATTGCCTAGCACGGCACCTGGTCTGCTCACCTGCGTTTAAATATTTACTGAAAGGGTGAAGATTTGATTGTCATTTCAGAGTTACAGGGAAGAGGAGGTCTTTTCTCAGATACCTGGGCAGGTATCCAAGTGCTGAGCAAGCAGTCATCTTGTTTGATACAGATGCTACTTGCAAAAAGCTATGCTGCAGTCCCGTAGGCACATAGTTCAAGGCCACCTGCTGCTCTGCGGGAGAAGGATGAGCAATCTCCTCCTGTGGGATTAACTACCTGGGAAAACCCACCAAAGGATCAGCTACTGGTCGGTTCCCACTCTATTGTACACAACAGCAACACAACAACAATAACAGGAACAGTGAGAGGAGCAGTCAAGTGTTGTTAGAAGTGTAGCTGAAGAGAAATGGTGGAGAGGAGGTGACTGCTCCCTTTCTATAAAAACAGTCACACACAAAAAAGAAATGAAACAGTCACCTTTAATTGTTAGTAGATAATATTGGCATCGCTAAACATATAATTAAATATATCTGTGGTCACTGAAGTTGGGAATGCAAGGAAAGTGCCTTTTTTGTGTGTACTTCTCATTGCTCACCAAGTTGGGCGACTTGCTCTTAACTCCAGGCCCTGCTTCCCTCTGCATGTCCCAGCTTGATTTTTCAACCTTTGCCCAGCTGTCCCATGATCAGCTGGTAATTGTGGATATGACTGCTAAGTTAATTTCCTATATCCTGTGTCGTTAGAAGAGGCTATTCCTTGAATAGGACATCATGCTTGAAAGATGGAGGGTTTATGAAAGAGAAGACGACCCTCAGCCAGATGGATTGACATAGTGACGGCTGCAATGGGCTCGAGTATGTCAGAAATGATGGAGATGACACATGATAGGACAAGGTTCAGATATATTTGTTACAGTTTCTATGAGTCATATTCGACTCAATACCTAACAACAATAATATCTTCTCTTAAAGGAGCTCTAATGATGTGATGAGTTATTATTTGTTAACTGCAAAGTCAGTGGTTTGAATCCACTCGTTCCTGCACTGGAGAAAGATGGGCAGTCTCTGTCCATAAATATTTACAGCCTCCAAAACCCAGTGGAGGATTGCTCTGCATCAGACTTGATTCCATGGCGTGGACTTTGGGTATATTGACTATTGTTGGTGTTATTAGTGCAGTAGATTCGCGACTACTCAAAACAACTGTACGTATAACAAAATGAAATCTTGTTCAATTCTGTGACAGCCACATAATTTCTGCAGTTCTTAAACTCATTGTTGTGATCACTGTGTCAAACCATCTTGTTGAAGATCTTCTATATTGTTGACTCATATTTTTCCCAAATGATGACCTCCAGGAGTTGGGGACTTCTGGTCATATGCCCAAAGTGTGTGATATCAAGTGTCCCCATCTTCACTTCTGAGGAACACTGGCTGCTCTTCTTCTTGTTTTTCTTCTCCTGGCCACCGCTGGGATATTCGGTACTCTTCATGAATGCTATCGTTTGAAGACGTCTGTTCTTTAGTCTTCCATATACATTGTCCAACTTCCCCATACATATGAAGCAATTAAAAAGACCATGGCCTGGGCCAGGTACACCTTAATCTTTAAACTGACTTTCCTGCTCTCCTGCAGTTTAAGGTGGTCCTCGGCAGCAACTTTTCCCAATATGATATGTAGTTTTATTTCTTGAATCCTGCTTCCATGGGTGTAGATTTTGGATTCAAGATGAAATAATCGATAACTAAAATGTAATCTACACTATGAAGACTTTGAGCTTTATCAGTAAGTACTTTAAGCCTTCTTAATTTTCTGCAAAAAAGGTTGTGCATAATAACGGGTTGTTAATGTGTCTTCCTCCAATCCTGATGCCATGTTCTTCTTCTAGTCTGCCTTCTGAGATGCTTTGCTCAGCATGCAGATAAAATAAAAATAAAAAAATAGAGTGAAAGGATACAATTCTGGCCTTCATTTTCCCTGACTTTCAAGCTTTTATTCTTTTTGAACCTGCTTCATGTACCTGTGTTGCATAAGCACAGTTATGTTTTGGAATTCTCATTTATCTTGGTGTAGTTCATAATTTGTTGTTGTCCACACAGTTAAATGCCCTTGCACAGTCAAAAAACCACAAAACCAGTATATCTTATGGCCAACCTGCATAATTACAGTGAGAGAAAATTCAGGAGAAAGCACTTCTGTATTCTCATCCTGTCACCTGAGTACCCACAGGACAAGAATGTTTCCCTACTTTCCTGTTCAAGACCTTTTCTGTAGTATCATGTCACTTTCTTGCCGTAACTCTTAGTCTTTAATGTCCTAAAGATTCTAAGGTGATACTCAAAGACGTGTTACAACCAGGCAGGGTGCTGCCCTGTTACCAAACCTGAAAACCAGAAACGTAACTAAAACAGGTCTTTTCAATTTTGCAGCTCTTTCAGGATGTTTTGTGGGTTTTTCATTTATTTAGGTATCTAACTGCTAAAATGTAAATGCAAACATCTATAATACTTTATCTTCCCTTTTCTCCTGTTTGCCATCCTACTTCTTTCTTTTTTAAAATTCCTTTTATTGTGGTAAATTTAAAACATATACAAAAGGGAGCATAAGCCCACTGTGTTCAACAATTATCACTCATAAACATCTTGTATCACTTATATTACTGTATACTACTTCCATCCTGAATTATTGTAATGCAAACTCTAGATGTGTTCTCTCATCCGTTAGTATTTTTGAAAGATGATCTTTGTAAAATAATACTTTCACTATTGTACCTAGTAATTTATTAATATTATCAAATAACAGAATAATGTTCCAAATTCCCTGAATATCACATCTTTTAAAAATTTTGTTTTAATTGGATTTAAATAATGTTACTTTATTGAAGTTGTTTAATATCTTTTTATCTATTAGCACTTGTCCTTTTGTTCTTTTCCTTTTTTCCTTGTAATTTATTTATTAACGAAACTGAGTCTTTGGTTCTCTTAAGAGTCACCTAGTATATTCCTTCCTGATTTCTTCCTTGCATTATTTCACATGTTCATCCCTCCTGTCTAGTTTCTACAAATTGGTAATATAACTTGATACTTGTGAAGGACTCAGACTCAGTATTTTCAAGTATACTTCATAGGTGGTACTATAAAACTAGCCATTTGAACTGGTTCATTCCAGTTTTACCTCCAGAGAATTGCATCTCCACTCCAGACACACTGAATATACAGTTAAACCAGACTCCCCCGTGATTCTTATCTTATGTATACGTGAGAATCCCCTGGGGGTCTTACTAGGCTATAGATTCTGATTCTGTATTTCTGGGGTCTAAAGCCTGTGTGGACTTCATTGGTGGTGTATTGAGTTGAGCCTACTCATTGCTGACCTATTATTGGGTTTCCAAGGGTGTAAATCACACCAGAGGAGATGGCTCATCTTTCTCACAAATGTATCTGGGGTGGAGATGTAAATTCTCATCACAGATTTGAGCCAGAATAAACAAGTCTGAAGCCTTGATGTAAACTTCTATCAGAAGATATATAATGTTTAATTGTCTCTTTGACATGATTGACTTGTTGTCCCCTTAACGTTCACCTGGGCCCAGGTGGTAGCCTTGAGAATGGGGGGAAATATTCTCTGTTGTGATCACTGAGATGTATTTTCATCAAATTTTGATTATGATGAAAGATACCGCCGGTATGTCTTGGATAAAGAACAGACAGGTATGTCTTGGATAAAGTGCAACCAGAGTGCTTTTAGGTATGTCTTGGATAAAGTGCAACCAGAGTGCTTTTTAGAGGTAAGGATGGCAAAGTTTTGTCTCACATACTTTGGCATGTTGTTAGGAGAGGTATTCTAGGAAAGGGACATTGTGCTTGGATAAAGGGTCAGCAAAAGAGAGGAAGGCCCTCAGTGACACAGTGACTGTAGCAGTGGACTCAAATATGTCCTGGCTGAGAAGGATGACGCAGGACAGGAAGAGGGTTAAGATATGTTGTTCGTAGGGTTGCTCTAAGTACTCAACTTGATAACACCTAAGAACATTTTCTATCTATGGACTATTGATATTGATTTCTCTAGTGCTTGCTGGAAGATGAATTGACATGAATTTGGTGTCTCGCTCTATGATTGTTTCTGGTGAACATAAAGGACATATTTACTGTAGGAATTTAGAGTAGGGAGCTCAGAAGTTTCCCAAGTCAGGTATTTGAAAATACTACTTGATAGAGTTCTGTATTCTAGAATGCTGCGAGGTTTGGCTAAACAAGCCACGTTTGCTGATGTTTTCTGGTGTATGCTTTCATGAATTTCTAAGATAACTTTTTTTCTTCTTTTAGGATCTCGTTTTGCCCAATGGTGGTACTCCAGCAGGCACTTCGAGTCCAGCTTCTTCATCTTCCCTTCTCAACAGACTTCAGCTTGATGATGATATTGATGGTGAGACCAGAGATCTCTTTGTCACCGTTGATGATCCCAAGAAGCATGTTTGCACAATGGAGACCTACATCACGTATAGGATCACCACCAAAGTAGGTCCCTTCTTAACTACCGCCCTTCTGCCCATGATAAACTGTCTTGATGAATATATTCCTCCTTTTTTTACAACTCTGTTAACTGTTCTTTTGGTTTTTAGGGTGATTAAAAATTGTAGATATGCCTTTTTGACTGAATACTTTTCTAATATGGTTACTATAATACCTTATCTTCAAATGAGGAACATGTGACTAAAATCTATAAACTAATACACTTAATCCTTGTATTTTCACTTATTTCTTACCACATTACTTAATATGTTATTTATAATATTTAAATTTATGAGTCATCACATCAGCCTAAAACTGTGATGAGACCATGGTTATAATTTGAGCTAATTGGAGTTGATGCTAGTGGATGAAAATAGGAGAAGCATGGGAACTGATATTTATGGATTTTCTACTGTGTACCAGGCAGGCATTTTTCAAGGTGAGAGAAGTGAAAAAGCAAATTTAAGCCTTGAGTCACCGTATTGAGAGATGCTATGGGCTATATGTCATTGAGTGGCCCAGGAAATCAGGAGCTCTATTAGACTGGAAAAGTCAGCGGTCAGAGACTTCTCCAGATTATTGAGGAGTGATAATGTCAGTTTGAGGACTAAGGTGCTTCTGAGTCTTTCTGGTCATTTACCAAGCCTCTGAGAGCTAGATAATGAATAGGGATGGCAGAAGAAGAATTGATGGTTTTGAGCTGTGGTGTTGGAGAAGAGTACTGAATATTCCATGAATTGCCAAAAGAACAAACTCTTTGTCTTGGAGAAAGAGCAGCTACAGTGCTCCTTGGAGGCAAAGATACTAAAATTTTGTCTTATATACTTTGGGCATGTTACTAAGAGAGGCTATTCCTTGGAGAGGGATTTCATGCTTGGAAAGGCAGATGGTTGGCAAAGGAGAGGAAGACCCTCAAACAGGTAGATGAACACAGTGACTTAAATATGTCGGACTCTTAAATCTTCATCTTAAAACTAATCCTATTTTAAACACCTTCCCCATTCTAGTATGTAGGGCTAGTGAAAGAGAGACCTTTAATGAGGTGGATTGACACAGTGACTGCAACAATGAACTTTAGCATGGCAAAGATTGTGCTGGGATTTGTGACTGACTTGATGGCATCTGGCAACAACTACTTATTAAAGAGTAATGTTAATATGATTTCTTTTCTTTGGAAAATAATCTGAGTGCTTAAAGACAGTCCTAAAGTTTTAGATCTAGAGCAGAGTTTATTTACTTGACAATGATGACATTTTGGCAGATAGTCACCTCTAGGTCAATGGTTTCACCTGGATATAATTTCTTTCCTCCTGGGACTATTTGTCAATGTCTGGAGACATTTTTGGTAGTCATAACTGAGGGAGGGATTATAACTGACATCTAATGGGTAGAGACAAAATTCTGGTTAACAACCCCCAACAGTATTAGAGAGAAAATTCATATTATTACTTGGTTTTTGAAGTAAAGAATTTTATTTTTTTTCTATAATTATATTTTATTAATTTTCATA